CTTTATCTGTTCCCTGCACACGAATGACACAAAGCGTCACTGGAGTCATTGCTCCCTTTAACAGTGACGCTAGACTGATTAAAACCAATGGATTAATGATCTTCATGTCGTGAAACTCTTTGAGCCAATGAATTTGGTTTTTTTCAGAATTTACTTCCAGCGTCCGCAGGCAGGGTCACTCAACTATGTCCAAATGGCTGTAACTTTTGTGCCAAGCACCAATCTGCCCAATGTTACGAGACAGCGTTGTAGGCAGTGTTAACTGACTCTCCCTCGACTCACTTCCACCGTTTGGGAGTGGGAACCTTGCCTGATTTATTAACACTGTGTGAGCAAGTGAAGAGTGTGTGGGGGGTGGGGTGTGCAGGGTGTCACCAGAGAGGTTTGGATGAAGAAGTCCCTTTGGCCTATTTGATGTTGTCCTTCCAAGAATACCCACCCCACCCATCACAGCATCAAGCTGTTTCTTAAATAAGTCCAGTGTCCTGGTCACCTGTGCCAGTCGTGAATTACCCTCTGGTTAAAGAAATACTTCCTGGTGCCTGAAAGGAGAAAGAATATCACAACAGGACAGAGTGAATAATTCATGATTTTAGCATACTGAGGATACAGGGAACAGCAGGTGAGCAGGAAGATGCATTTAAAGGTTACGCTGAACGAGAGAGGAGACTTCAGAAGGAGTTGTGAGATTGTTGACTTTGTAAAATAGACACAGGAGAGAGAAAGACAAGGGGGGTGGGGGGAGAGAGAGAGAGAGAGAGATGGAGGATGGAGTTTCAAGTGAATATAAAATTTTCTGGTAACGTGAATAGAAATTTTTTTATCAGTACACATGAGGGCGGGTTGGGAGAAGAGCATCCCCATTTGCTATTTTCCTGCCAATTCCTACCTGAAGTCACCCAGCGACCCGTGGGACACACTTTTCATTACTCGCGATTTAAAAAGAAAAAATACAATGGAATTTTTTCCGGGAATCAAACACAGAGGTAAATGAGTTAAGTCTGGCATTAATTTCTCAGCAACCCTTCCATTAATTCCCCCTGTCTTGAAAGAGACAATCTCCGAGCTGCCTGCATGAAATGTGCGAAGTGCAGCATTAGCAGTTAAACCGTCTTTGAAAGGCAAAGTGCTTCACAAGAACTCCTGTTTAAATTGGAATTAGCTTAATTATTTTATCTCGCACCTGATATTTCAAGCACTTCCTTCACTGAAATATTCATGAAAACATGTGACAGATTTGTAAATCTTGCCTCACAGTTACACCCGGCTCCACGCTTGCTTTAATCAGGGTGTATTTGCTTGAAGAAACCATACGAGGAGACTAATGATTTTGCTAATTTGAAAAACGTTGGTGTGATTACCTAAGGTTAACTGATTTGTGCATTTTGCTGAATACCGTATGAAGTAAATTTACTCGGCAGAAAGTAATCAGAGAAGAATCTCTCTTTCTCGCCAGTTTCCCTTTTTCCTCTCTCCCTCGTTCTCCCTCTCTTTGCTCGTTGCTGTTCTTGACTTCTTCATCCGTTAACTGCTCGATGTTCTTCTGTTAGGCAGATGAGTGGTGATGCTGGGCAGCCAGCTGAAGGCTGTGTAAGAGGCCATGCTAGTCGAGGTGCTCAGCAAGTTACCAGCGGAGGCCAACTGGGACCCGCTGCACACGGGATATCGTGCTTCAATCAATGCCAGCACGTGAAGCGAATCCCGCTGAGTGCGTCTGCACCTGGCAGGGTTGAAGTGAGAGGTGGAGAGAGACAGTGTTTCTGAGACTCGGTGATTCCCTGCTAGGAAGCACTCTGCCTTCGTGTTTCGGCTCATAAGGTTGAGGACACCTTTGCTACTCCAAGTGTCTTTGATTAGACAGACAGACCATCAGTACCACTTTATTTTATTCCAAACTTTGGAGCCAGTTCAGACCCAGGGAGCTGATGCTAATCAGGCTCTCCAGGAGAATTGGCACTCCACTTTACAATATATTCTGTGAAGCGCTTTGAGACGTCTCAACGACGTGATAAAGCGCGATATCAAATGCAAGGATTATTATTATTATCGACAAAAATCTGTAGATTTAGCACCTGATATTGTCCTGGTTGAGGCAATGGACAGCACAGTGCAAGCAAGCACTGAACCATGGTCCTTCCCTGGTCTTTAAAGGCAGCGTACTACACCGAGCAACTAGTTTACCATCAGGCAACACATGCTGAGTTTGATTCCTTAACTGGATCATCTGCAGCAGAGGGACTGATTAGAGACTAGGTTTGTCTTCACAGGAGAGGAGATGTGACGGGTGGGCTATTCAACAAAGCCACTGTTCTTTGGAACCGGTGTACGGCTGTCCCAGACTAAATCATTCTTTCAACCGTTTGACTGGAAGCCTTGATGCTGTGTGAATATTCTCCCCCACCCCCACCACCCCCCATCTCCTCTCTCCACATCTCCTCTTCCCCCCCCACCACACTCCACCCCGCCTCCCCCCCGCCACAGGGAGGCCGCTCATCCAGTATGTCGCCTGCTGTCTCGCACACGCTCGGGCCCTTTGGAGTGGCTTCCACCACAAAGTTGGCGAGTTCTGCGGGATCTACAATTTACCCTGTCTTTTATAAGTTCCTCACTAATTTCGGGATGACTAGTATTGCTGCCAGAGGCAAAGTGTTGTCAGATGGAGAAGTGTAATAAGTTCCATTCTCCAGTAGTGAATTAACCCTCGGCCAGATGAGCGGCAGATTGTGTTGGCTCACTTGCTCCTCATGTTCATTTCAGTACTATATTTGTACTCTGAAACCCCTTTATCATTGACTGAGATCCCCTCCCTGCGCTCCACCTCTGGGAACATCTGCTTCGGCAGATTCCGTTGGCGGTGGTTGGTTTGGAAGAGGATGGTGGTGATGGTGTGAGGGTGGGGGGAATAGGGGTGGGTATGGGGTTAGGAGCAGTTTCGAGTTATGAGGATAAGTCTCACCATATTGTGAAATACCACAGTGGGTCGAGACTTCTGACCTCGAAGTTGAATAAAGAAAGTGCAACCTTGTCTCCACTGAGATTGGAGCTAAAATTGAACCAAGCTTGTGTGTGTGTGTGTATGTACTATGCTAGATTTATGATGTAAATTGGTAAGAGGCCAGAGTACTTAATTTCCCCATCGTCACGGCCTGCAGTTCTGCCCTTTCTTTTAGGCAGAATTGTGGATTCCCCCCCCACGCCAACCGATTCCCTCTGTAAAAAAAAAAGCATCCAAATTACTAGTGAATTTTTGCACAACTCTGTGAGATTTTAAAATTGGGTCCTACAGACTGAGACTGGTTAGAGTTTTAGGCTTCTGGTTTAGAATTCCTGTTCCACATTGGGGCATTAAACCTCATCTCCCCTCACCTCGTGCCCCACGCGTGATATCATGAGCCCGGATGTTTAATAACTGTCCCCTGAAAATTCACGGTCCAAAATATATTGAAGTTTCGAGAGGATTCGAGGGGAGGGGGAGGTCACTGTTCTGTTCAGGTGATGTCAGGTTCCCTTGTTAATGCGTCAAGACCCTGTCCCGCATGAAGGGTCCAATATAAATTGAAGTTGTTGTTGCTTTTAGTCTGCCTTATTCGGGAAGCAATTGATTTAGACACAAAAAAAGTTTTAATGTTTTTAACTTTTATGGTAGTTTACCAAGCAGTAAGTAGGAACCTCGTTGTTAGTCGATTGGCGGATCGCTTTTCTGGTGGTAATAATACCTCCCCTCCCTCCCCAGAATAATTTGCCACTCAATCCATGACTGTTATTGGGACACTGCTGTGAACAATTGGCTGCCGCATTTCGCCCACAGTCAATCCACTTTACAATATAGTCTGTGAAGCACTTTGGCAAAAAAAGAAGAGGCATTATCTGTTGCAAATAACTTACCCTTTTAAACCCACACAAAGCAAGAGCTGGTTTAGAGGCCCATGATGTGATTCGGAAATCTTTTCAGCTGGCTGTATCTCTGTGCTTTTTAAAAGGGAAATGACCCTCTCTTCAGCTCTCTGGGGACCACACTGGGGATTTCCCTGAACTGGAAACTCAATACACGCCTGACACTGTTCTCAACTTGATCAGCACGTCGAAAGCCACCCAGCAGGTCCGAGGCCAGAAATTCCTGACCAGTTTTAAAATGCAGGATTGCGACAAAATTCTTCCGTTTGATCCTATTCTGAGAGACGGTCGATTCGAAGATCTGCAATAAGATGGCCTCCAAATTAAGATTGAATTGAATTTCCCACAAATCTTGCCCAATCTGACCGTTTAAGACTGAATTAAATGTCCTCCCAACTTCTAAGCGCCTTGGGATGTCCTCTGGATTTGAAAGACACTCCATAAATGTAAATTTTTTATTGTATTGAAATGCCTACAAATACAGTCACTACACTTCACAGTGAAATCCTGAGAAGCATTTTGAATACTCGATCCTGAACCCCTACCCCCCCCCCATCTCCCGACTCCCAACTCAAGATCTCCCCCAACTTGAGACATCCCCCAACTTCGCAACTCATGGACACAGGCCAGTGACTGCTAACCCTGACTGCTGCCCCGGCTGAGATGAGTGACTCAGCACCGATTGAAGCTGGGACTTTCCTGATCTGTGTGGCCTTAGCGATTCGCTGTACAATCTCACTCAGCCCTCGGTATCCCAATGCAGTGCAGTCATCTGTCAGCCGTGTGGGGAGCAAGCAAGTCATCTACTCCCAGGCTCCTTTGGCACTGAGGCATCCCTGGGAGATTTGTGAAAGTGACCTCAAGTGACTAAGCCTCTCATGTCCTGTGGGTTGTTTTCCTGATGGCCATTCCGATGCTCGGGACATGTTTGGGGAATAATGGGCAGGATTATCATTCCTGAGTAAGTCTGTCTTGTCTATTAATAAATGCGTATCTGCTCTGAACTCTACGAGGAGGAAATGCATTGCAAAAAGCATTAACCCAGTGATTACAATGTACCTTCAATCCATTCAATGACCGTGTTTTCCCTTTGCTCCCCCACACAGCAGAATGTCTTCTAAGCAAGCCACCTCTCCATACGCCTCTGCTACCGATGGGGAGGATTCGGGGGTCCAGGAGCGATTGGTGCGGGAGAGAGATCGGGAAGAGCTGAGCGAGCATCACCCAGCCTCACACCTGTCCCTGCACACCTTAATACTCAACAAACCTCACTCCGAGGAGCTGCTCCCCCCAGGTAGCACCCTCCCACCCGACGCTGACTGGGAAAACATGGCTGGTGCCCAGCACAGAGCAGTAAGTACATTTTCTTCTCTGCCAATTGGAGCATCCATTGCCTTTTCGCACAGTGACAGCCTGGCTCAGTGGGTAGCAATCTTGCCTTCGAGTCGGAAGGATGCGGGTTCGAGCTCCAAGCGGAGACTTTGAACTCCCAGTGTAGGCTGACACTCTAGCGCAGTATTGGGTGAGCACCGCATTGTCAGAGGTGCCATCCTTCAGATGAGATATTAAATTGAGGCCTTGTCTGCCTGTTAAAGTGGATGTTAAAGATTCCATGGTCCTTTTTGAAAAGAGAAGGGAGTTTCTCCAGATGTCCTTGCCAACAATCCTCCAGGTAAAATTGGTCACTCACTTCACAAGCTGCTTATGGGTGGGACATTGCTCTGAGCAAACTGGCTGCCGAGTTTGCTTACAAGATATACAGTCACTGCACTTCACAGTAAAATCTGTGTGTGTGCTTTGAAATGTCTTGATGACGTGATAAGGGACCAGATCAAGTGCAAGAATCTTTATGCTACATGTTAATGCTGTAAATAGCGCCTTGGGACGTCCTCCCGACGTGAAAGGCGCTTTACAAATGTAATTTTGTTGTTGTAAACTGATTCACCGATTTAACATTCCGTTGTGTGATCCTGTCGTACGGATTGGGAAGCACAAGCTCCCCAGCCTATTCCTGAGAAATCCTCAGATAACTTTGCCACAAAATGAGAGAGTAAAGAACGTAAGCGTTGCCGGCATAGACTTCGGAGAGCGCGGAGCCTGCGGGGTGATGGGCAGCTTGAAACAACGTACAAGAGATGAAAGTTTCTCAAAGGCTGCTAAAGTTTGCTAAAATATGGAGTGAATAAGGCTTGCAAGTGTCCTCAGTCAAATAAGCCTTGGGAGCAGACAGCTGTGTATTCTCCTCAGGGACCCCATGACTTTTTATAGAATCCAAACCCTTCCCTTGATGTACCCTCTGCAGTTTGTTAGTCTTGGCTGCAACTCACGGATCCGCAGTAATACCACGCAGTGGCAAGAAGGACAGCCTATCTGTTGGTACAGATTTGCCTTTTTCTCCTCCCCTTCCCTCTCGCCCCCCCACTCACACCATCCACAATCTATGCTCGTATCCCCACCCTCTCACTGGTCAGCCGCTAGCCCAGAACCCATTCTGTTCCATTTTGGGGTGTGTGTGGTGTGTGTGTGTGTGCGTGTCTGTCCATGGAACACGATTTGAAGGTACATTGTGACACGTCACACGCCCCACTATTTACTTGCTCAATCAATCATCCCTCTATTGAGGAGTATTCAGAGTGCTTTGTTGGATTCTGTGTAATTTGCCCACCTGCCCTTTGTACCTTTGCTTAATTGAAAATCTCAGGGTTTACAGGAAACCAGCAGTGGTTGCAGAAACGCTCGTTTGTTTTCAGAAAGCAGAGGAGCTCGAAAATTCTCTCATTCTTAGCTGTAAGTCCGTGGCCCTGAACATTTAAGACCTTGGAACGCTCTTCAAATCACTCCTGAGTTTGAAAGTTGCTTTATTTTGAGAAAAGTGGAAAGAAAACATCGGCTTTTAAATTAAGACCCAATTGAAGAGTTTTCCACAATTCTGGATCTGAAGGGTAAGACGTCAAGTAATTTCGGGACCCTGATTTGGTTGGATGGTAATGCCCACTGAGATCGTACCCTGTCCAGGTTGATGAAGGAAAATAGACCTTTGGTCCCTTTAATCACTTTGTCCCAGCATACCCACCCAGCATTCTTCCCATTACATCATCAAATGGCTTCTCAAAGAGTCCGGTATCCATGGTCTCAAACGCCCTCCCAGGTGATCCGTGCCAGCTGTGGCCCAGGCTGTGTGTAAAGGTAGTGGTGAGGGGATTGGGAGTGGAGGAGGGTGGGGAACAAGACGCTGAGGGAATGTGAAGGGGTGGGAGGGAGAGAGGTGCGGAGAGAGATGGTGCGTTCCACAGCTGCACTTCTTGCAAATGATTTGCCACAGAGCAGATTCCAGTATCAGCAATTCTAAGAGCAACAGCGTCTGAGGAACTGTGCTCTGCTTAAAACCTGTTCTTACTTTTCTGCTGTTGCCTTCTGCATCGGATGCGCTCAGTGAGCCAAACCTGGGGGTCCCACAGCACTTGAGCAAAACGCAATGCAACAATTTCATTCCCGAGGTTTGATTTACAATGGTAAGTTTTTTTTATATACAAATATATGTATTTATTATATGGGTAGTTTGATTTGCAGCGGGAAATGCCTTGTGAAATCAGTCAAACGTACATGCCGGAGAGGATATTGGCTGTTGAGATATCCCAGCTTGAGGAGTCAAGCTCACTGTAGATAACCAAACTATTCTGGTCAGATTCTACAAAGTAATTCCCTCTCCCTCGCCACCCCCACACCCGCTCCCTCCCACCTCCCAACGTCTTGAAACACGTTGACTGGTTCGGAGTCAACATCATCTCTGAATTTAATTTAAGTCAGATCACTGCAACATTACGAGAGGGCTGGGGGAGAGGACAAGAGGAGACCCAGTGAATGCTGACGTCTATAAATTTGCTCAGGAAAAGGAATTGCGCCTCAATTACTATTCGCTTTGATGTACGTTTTTCCGGTGACTGGAGATTTTAATGCCTGGACTTCAACCAGAGCACAGTTATTGATGTATTTCCCATCGTCAATGTTACAATGTCGCCACAAATCGTCGGTGTTGCTGTGTGGCATTGTATTGGTAGGTGTACAGGAACGGGCAGAGGCCATTCAGCTGATTGAGTCTTCCCTGCGACGTTTGACACTCGCCAGGTTGGGGAAGTCTCACACTGTGCTTGTGGCCTCTGTTTGGGTGGATGGGGCTATGCATTGCATAGCATCGAATGCGGCACAAGAGTGGGTGGGGCAGAGTTTTGTTGTGTTGCGCTTTGAGTGCTCTACCTCTATTTATAGGGCACAGTTTGGTCATTTATTCCCTGTGGACTTGATCTCCATAACACAGATGTTACTGCCCAGTCAGGCCCATGGGTGTTGCCTTGTCACAGTCGCTGACTGATTCCTGACCTGCGATGACTTGTCACCGACATGGCCGTTCGGTGATTTTTTTCACTAGAATAATCTCTGTGCATATACTCTTCTTTTCCTCCTCCTCCTCCTCCTCCTCCTCCTCCTCCTCCTCCTCCTCCTCCTCCTCCTCCCACCCCCCCCTCTTTCTCTTCCTTCTTTCCCTCCTCCTGCTCTGGGGTCAGTTCCCCAGCACATTCCCTGCTGGATGTGTGCACGGGAGGATGAGCTCTGGGTAAGTCTGTCATTTCTCACTGTGGTTGACTAAGCCAACCAACGCTCAGCATCAAGATAAGAGGAGAATAACGGCCACGTGAAGGCATGACCAAGCCTGTGAAACTACCCTCTACTGGGAAGGTGAAAGAGAGTCAAACACAGCAGAAGGGAGAAGGTCTTGTGAGGTGTTTGCAATGAATGAATGGAAATGGTGCACCGAGGCCCTGCAGTGGGTTTCAGAGTGAATGGAATACAGGGATGAGGAGGGCAGGTATTCTGGAAGGAGGAGACCAAATGGACTGTGAGGCTTTCTTCATCTGATCCTCTCTTGTGGAAGGTGCTGGTTTCTCTGTGTTCCCCTGGCAGTGACAGCCAGCGTCTATAGCATTTGGAATAGTTGGAACCAATGCTGTGATTTGGCATCTACAAATCACAGCATTGTATCCTGAGTTTCCTGAAAGAACTCTTTCCACTCCTCTCCCCTCGCCCCCCCCACACCGCCAACCTCCACATTCCCTACCTTCCTTGTCCTCCCTAACCCTTATACCAAGATGCCAATGTGCAACTTATTCAGGAAATGTATTCTTATCCCGACGCATCATTTACAAGTTCCTTTTCCACCAGCGCGGGTGAAATTGACGATCCGACTTCACGTGCTCGAGTCTCAATAGCATTATTAATGTCACCGAGATAAATAAAAGCAGCAAGGCTCAAGTGGCCCTCGGAGACACTGCCTTACTGATCAAAGCCGAGACTGAAAGTCTCCCGCAGGTTCAGAAAACAAATGGCATTCAGAGCCTAACAAAGCACGCATTGTTGATTCTGAAGTGCTGTCATAGTGCAATAATCAACATGCAAATGTTCTCACTCCTGTCACTTATGTCTAAAATATACAACACCACAAAGGCTTTAACTGTTTGCGCTCCCCGAGCTCCTTCCGATCAAGTCGCTCTCCGTAGACTTTCGGTTTTGTAGACGGGAGACGAATCGAGGCCCCTCTTTAGCCCGTCTTCCTCCATGTGCTCTCCTCCAACACTCGGGCCGACGCCAGCCAGTGAGGGAGGTTGGTAAGAGAAGGGAAGCGAATTGCTTCTTACTAAGAGTTGGTGCTGAAATGTCCGCTCAATTGTACAGAGATATTAGGCTGCCGATGCTCTGAAATTCCGGCTTTTTTTTTCTGCTCTTAAAAGGAATTGGCTTCCAAATTAAGATCATTTTATTAAAAAAAACAAATCCAGATTCTTTGCGTACTTAAATTTCAAGACAAAACAGTCTTGTCTTCTCTTCAACCGTGCCTTCAGCTCCCCTCTCGATTCTCTACCCCCTCCTCGCTCCCTCCCTTCCCTCCCCTCACTCTGACCATTTCCCCCCTGCTCAGGTCCCGGCCCAACTGTCCAGCGCCTTGGGACGTCCTCCCGACGTGAAAAGCGCTCTATCAATGCAATCTTGTTGTTGTTGCGTTGTGGGTTAGGACCAGCTGAAATCTCAGGCTTGTTCTGGCCATAATGAATCTTACATGGAAGGCTGTTTCCTTGTAGCATCACAATAAGGTAAAACCTCGTACGTCTGGGGTTCACAGCTCATGGCATGGGCGTTACCTCTCACATGGTTACTTAGAGTACAGGTGAAGGAAGGGGCTTGAAGGCTCAACACTTTGTTACGGGCAGATAGATTGTCTCGTTGCTGATCAGTGGATGGTTACCCGTAACGCTGCGGAGAAGCACTCAGTGCAGACCTCCCAAAGAGTCGGATTCAAAGTT